TGGGGTATTGGGAGTTATTCCAATGCTCTGCATCCACTTAAATACCCCCTCTGCCTTTTCCCTCCCTCTCTCCTCCTTGGGGTTAGCTTGGAGTCCTGTCTCCTTAGCCAAGGCCAGCAATAAAGCGACTGCGGGCCTGACCCAGGTGTGGGAATGTCACTTGTTGAGGTTGGCTCGGGAGATGTGTCCTCACATCCATCCTGGGTCTTCAGAGCTTCTGGCAGTCCTGCCTGCATCCTCTGTGCAGTGGCTGTTCCCACAGCTAAAAAAATACCCCCTGCACCGGTCATTAGGTTTTGTTTCCTTCTGTGCCACCTGGAAGAGCAAGTGAAGAGTCAAATAGGGAACATCCATGTTTGAGCCTTCTGACGCGTTTTCTCTTCTTGCAGAAGACAGGCCTTCACCCAAGGAGCTAGAGGAGCTGGAACTGCTGAACAGGGCCTTAGAGAAGGCACTGAAGGTCAGGAAAAGCATCTTGGAAACTCCATTAGAGGCTCAGGGAGCTAGAGGACAGAAATGGGCAGGTGAAGCACGTGCTCCCAAGAAAGCTGAAGAGCAGCAGGTGCCTGTACCTGTTGAGGATGTTCCTGAGTGCAGGAAGGTGAGAACTGGAAGCCAAAAGCCTTTGTTGTTGAAGAAGCCCTCTGCATACCAGTTAAGAGCCCCTTACAGGACTGACCCAGATGTGAAGAAACTGCAAAGGAAAGTCCCAGCCAGATGTGTTTCTCAAGGCCCCAGGACAGCTGGGAAGATTTCCTCAAAAGGAGTGACTTCCAGACAAGGAAGGAGTCACAGGACAGCAACTGGTGCCAGTGCCAGAGAAGTCAGTGCTGCAGCTGAGCCCCAGGGGACACCTGGCTTGTCTGAATCTGCCCCAAATGAGCAGCAAAGCTTTTCTGGAGGGGATTCAGCTGCAGTAAAGAATTCCACAGTTGCTGGCAAGCAGTTACTAGATGCAGGGAAGAAAAGTTGTGGTTTCTTGGGAGAGTCCAGCAAAAAGGAGGACACTGCAGGTGCATGGGGAAGGAGCACCTCACCAGGGCCAGGCACCCTGCAGGAAAAGGGGTAAGTGTGGGAGGTGGGCACCTCTCCTTTTCTGCTCCAGACTCACAGGCACATGTACAGATCCTGTTGGGGGTCCCAGCCTGGCTCCATCCTCCTCACATCCCTCTCAAGAGGAAGGATCCTATACAGTTTAAAAGCCTTTATTGTGGTTGAGTAAGTGTTTTCATTTTAAGGGCTTATTGTTGGATGGCTGGGACTTTGAAAGCCTTTCAATTAAGACTTTTGATGTTTCCTAGTCCCCTATGAGTGTTTTGGAAAGCTGTCTCTGTAGAGCTTTCTTGAGCCTTAGCTTTCCTCTGAGTGTACTCTCTATTATAGCATATTGATTTTTTTATTTATTCATTCTGTTTTTTACACAGTGACAATACATAATGCATGATTTCTCTCTCTCTCTGTCTCAAGCATGTGCCCAGTGCTGTTTGGAGTGATGGCATCTGGGTTTGATGCTGTTCCTGTTAACCTGTAACATACTGCCCATGTAACTACAAAATCAGGACTGACTAAAGTACAGTTGTTTTAAGGGTTTGGTCCAGGAAGGATTATGAAGGGAATGTTACTGAGATTCTCTGTGGAAAAGTGGCAAAATAATACTTGGAAGACTGGCTTTGTCTTCATGCCAGTCTGTCTTAAGTAATTTCTTTCCTCTTTTGCTTTAACAACATTGAAGTTTAATCTGCATCTGGAAAGTTTTGAGGAGTGTTTCTCTCAGCCACCACAACCTAACTCTTGTGTTTGTGCAGGGAGGAAATGATCCCTTTTCACTGCATTGGAAGGGCTCCAGGACACTTCAGTGACAGTTGCTGTAGGAACAGGGATCTGGATTCAAACATTTACTTAAATTCCCAGCTGTGGCCTTGCATTCCTAGTCTGCATGTGACTAACAACTGCCAACCCTCCTGTTTTTGTGTAACAATTTAGGGATTATTCTGCCTCAGGGTTAAGAATCATATTCCCAGTGGAAGCTGGGATGTCCCTTTCCTGTTTCTCTGAGTGTGACAGGGTGCTAAGCAAAGCTGCCTTGTCCAGCAGAGGCAGGGCAAGAGGCTGTGGCAGAGCAGTTTCCCTGCAGGTGTTGTTTCCATGCCTGTGCTCTGCTGTGCCATGGCTTTGCTCCCAGCTGCCCACCCTGGATGAACCTCTGTTGGTCCAGGAGCACTCCCAGCTCAGCCCCATGATGCCTGTGGAGCCCAATGAGCAACCTAATCTTCCCTCCTTGAGGACAGTCTGGAGACAGTGGTGGATCCAATCTTCAGAGTTGCTGACATCTCCCATTGCAGCTAAATTCATTTCAGCTTTTGACAAAGCACCATTTTCCCTGTTGGACCAGGCTGAGTTAATTGCTTTGCAGCTGCCAGGATTGATCCTTCTCCTGTTCCACAGATGCCAGCTGAAGCTCCCCCTGCCCTACAGGAAAGCCTACTCCAGGAACTGCAGGTAAGAGCAGTGTGAGCAGTTCAGTGCAGAACTCCCCTGAGCTTCAGGGCTGTGAGGAGGGGTTGGGTGTGGAGGCAGTGACCCCCAGGGCATGGAGCCTGAGCTGGGAGCAGCAGGAGCTCCCATACTGCAGGGCTGCTGCTGAGGATGTGTTCTGTTATTGTAGCCACCAGTGCTACTTTTGTTCTTTGAGTGCTAATTCCTGTCAATCACTGAGTCAGGAAGTTCCTGCAGTGCTTTAATTGTGGGTTTGAGGGTGCAGCACAAGGCTCTGCTGGTGGCACACACACCCCCGTGGGATGGGTGTCTGTGTACACTGTCCAAATGAGTTTCCCAGCCCATCCCTGCCCTGCCTTTGCAGCTCTCCTGTGAGTGTCTGAGGCTGCTTCCTGCTGCTGAGCTCTGACACTCAGCCAGCTACAGTGTTACTGCAGGGATGGTGCCAGAGGTTGGGGCTTGCGTGCTCCAGTCATTTCTCCAGCCTTCTGGAAGGGTTTCCCACAATTCCTCTGATGCTCGTTATGTGCTTTGTTCAGATATCAAGCATAAACCCTTTCTTAAATCTAACTTCGTGCTGCCCTCAAGAATTCCTCCTCCTCTTGAAAACTGCCATTTATCAGGCACCAGTTTGTTAGTTGCCCTTCTGCAAGTTGGAAAGACTTTCTACCCTTAATTTTCACTTCTAAATTGAGTCTTTTAGCATTCCAATCACTTTGCTGCAATTTTATACTTCTCACTATTGCTTTCAACTCAGTAACAGATTGAGAATAACCTTTGCACTCAAGATATTTTGTAGAGGATTTGCATCTTGCCTGGGAACTTCTATTCTTTCCTGTTCCATTAACCTTGACACTTCTTTGCATAACATATTTCTGAAATCTGCAGTTTCTAACATGATTTAAAAGACCCATTAGGCTAGAGAGAAGACACATGCACACTCGAGTTAGTCAGGCACTGCAGAACTATTTTAAGCTTCCTCCTGATGGCTCTCACTTGCTGTGGCAGGTTTTGGGAGACAATCCTTAAGGTTGGATATCATGGGGACTGTGCATCCATGAGGATGTTGAACTCTGTGAGAGAAATGCATCTCTCCAGTAGTGCTGTTATTTGTGCAGTGCTTTATGTAAAAAACTGGTGGACTCTGGTGTGAAGTCCTGGCCAGCTTCCTCATGGTTCTGTCCTTAAACCTCTGTGCAGCATCCCTGACATGCTGCTGCCATTCTGCTTGCCATACATACCACTTTGTCACCCCCAGAAAAATTATTAAGAATCTTGAGGAAGTTTGGAATGTGAAGTAGTTGGGTGAGAGTAGTTTGTCCTGTCTGCTCTTTTATTTTGTACACCTATACTAACAGAACCCATGAACAGAAATGCAAATGACTTACTCCCAAGAAAGGAAGGGAAGATTTGTTGTTTCCTCTGGGGTATAAAGAGGAAGGACAATACAGCATCATGAGGGATGTGCCACAAGTTCACATTCTGCTTATAGAAATGTGCTGCCTGTCTTCTGATCCTTCCCCTCAAAACAAGAGGAGGGAGTAACAGGTGCTGTGCAGTGTCTGATGCTTTGTGCAGGGTCTGATGCTTTCTGTAGGGTTTGATGCTTTCTGCAGTGTTTGATGCTTTGTGCAGGGCCTGATGCTTTGTGCAGGGCCTGATGCTTTGTGCAGGGTCTGATGCTTTGTGCAGGGTCTGATGCTTTCTGTAGGGTCTGATGCTTTCTGCAGTGTTTGATGCTTTGTGCAGGGCCTGATGCTTTGTGCAGGGTGTCCCTGTTGATCTGAGAGCAGCCATGGGAATGAGATGGGAATGGCTGGTAAATAACCTGTGAGAGAGACAGGGAGGGAGACACTTGTAATTAAAGCACTGCTGTGCCACACTGGTGTGTCACAGCTCAGTGTGAGCACTGGCTGGTACAAAGGAACATAACTTCCACCTCCTGCCCCTTTGGAATTTCAGGGCGTGGGAGAGATGTCGCCTCTGCCAAACGAGTGCAGATGCAGCAGCTGCAAGGACCCGTTTTGTGGAGAGAATCCAGACAACTGTATCCTTTCCTAGCAGGCACAGGGTGCAATTGCTCTGCAGTGAGCTCCAGGCTGGAGAGAGTTATGCCTCCAATAACAGCAGTTCCAGTTGGGTCTCTAGGCAGTGGGTTTTCTCACAGCTGCTGAGCACTTGCAAAACTTCTGATCCAGCAAACGTGGCCACAAGGCAAGCATGCCCCACACAGCTGTGCTTGCTGTCCTCACCTTCCCCCTGCAGTGCCACTTCCCTCTGTCCTGAGTGCAGCTGGCCTGGCCTGGGGCTCAGCATTCTGTGGAACCTTCCTTAAGCTGCTGCTCTTTGAGTTTTGCTCCCCGAAGCTGACCCCCAGTCCTGCAGAGATAGAGGAGGAATTAAGGGGCCTCCAGGATGTCCCCTCCCGTGTGAGGCAGTGCATGGAAGCTGAGCCTGCAGGTAAGGAGGGAAAAAGGGCAGTGGGAGGGCAGAAGGTAGAATAAGGATGGTTTGGGCTCAGTTCCACGTGTTTTGTGTTCTTGGCATGTGCTGGACACAAGGGACAGGAACATTCTTTGCCTGAAATGAAGGCTGGTGAACCCAAGGCCATTCTGGAAGCTCTTTGGGGGAGGAAGGTTCCAGTGTTCACACTTTTTCTCTGCTTCTCTTGTAGATCCTCCCACTCTGCAAGGAGAGTATGAAAGCCTTCTGACCTTGGAGGGTTTGCAAAGCACAGTGTCCCAGTGCCTGCAGAAGCTGCAGCTGCTGCAGGAAGGTGAGACAGTCCCTGTGCCTGTGGTCAGGTGTGAACGTGGCCCTTTGCCATCTGTGTGCAGGACACTGCACCAAGGTCATTTTGCTCCTGGTTATCTTTATGGTATTGGAGAACTTAATTCTCTGGTGGCAAACAAATCTGTGGTACCTGTGTGTCCCCCCCTCTGTGTTCAGGAGAGACTTGGAGCCTTGAATGCAGTTGCAGTTCAAGTGGGCTGGGGAGGGGACAGTGCAGGCCACAGCTTAGGGTGCCCTGATTGTGCCATGTGTGAGGAGCTTACCCTGATTAATGCAGTGTCTTCAGTCATCAGTTCTGGGAACAGTAAGTAGATCATAAAGTCTGGAAGTACAGATTTAACTTGTATGGTTTTGTCTCCTGCCCTTTCTTGTACCCTGGCAGCTCTGGAGTCCCAGCTGAGGCTGTGCCCAGAGTGCCCTGGGGATGTGGGGAGCTGCTCTCCAGCCTGTGTCCCTGCCAGGGGACACACGTGTGACAGTGCAGACATGCTGGCTGTGCCTCTCCTCTGTTACTCCAGTCTCCAGGAGCTCAGGGACCTGTTTGCCTTGAAGCTGCAAGTGGCCATGCTGCACCAAGAGATTGCCTTACAAAAGGTGAGTCTGGAGCAGTGTCAGTGCTCCCAGAGCAGGGAAGGAAAAGGACAATTGTGGGGCAGCAGCTGTTGTACAAGGTGTTGATGGGCAGCAGCAGCATGGCAAGTTCCTCCAGTGATGTTTTTGTGCTTATGCCTTGTTCTCTTTGTTGGTGAATGGGACTTTTGTTGTTGTTGTTGTTGTTAGGGTCAGAGCAGAGGCCCTTACATGCCTGACCCTCTCCTGATAAGATTTTGTTTATGTACTCTGAAAGAATTTGGCAGTGGAGGATGTTGTTGATAATGCCCCTTTTGTCAGGCCTTTACAGCCCTCTTAGGGCACTCATTCCCTCCTGTGTGACTTCCAGCTTCCACTGTGCACCTGAGCTTCTCTGTTTTCTGTTCCTTTCCTTTTAAATCTCAAACCACTGTGCTGCTAATCTTGCTTTTACCATTCTGAGACTGTAAGAACAGGGTAGGAGGTGTCAGCTTCTTCAGCAGCCTGAGCAGAGAGTTTGCCACACAGGGATTACTTGCTCTTCTCAGCCAGCAGCAAAGGGCAGAGAAGATCTATGAAATCAAATCTCCTCCTTTGACCTATTCTTTGCCACTGACTTGAGTGATAGAGACTCTGGAAAAGCCATTTTTTTGTAAGCCAGAGAGTCATTATTAATAACTGTCTGCAGCCCTGTGGCTGAAGACAGATTGCTACCTGACTTCAAATGGGATTTCAGCATTATAATACTGAATTATGGATTATGAAGGGTTTGGGGTTTTTTGTCTGCCCAAAATGAAATGGTGACCAAAGCCTGATTCCTGCTGCTCTGTTGGTGGACACAGTTTCTTCTGCACATGTACCCAAATAGATGCTTTGTGCCATGTGAGCCCTGAAGGTCTGAAGCAGCCCTGTGCAGAATGTGCAGGATAAGTGAAATTCTTGGGCCAGGTGAAGTAAGTGGGTATGGAACAAGATAAATGCCCCAGAAAAGGATGTACCTGTTTCTGGGCCAGGCCTCCACTGCCTTTCCATGGAGGAAAGCCAAGTACCACAGAAATTCCTGGTAGCTCTGAGCCTGTCTTTGATGGTGAGGATCTGTTTCTCCTTAGGTGTGAGGAGCAGAGCAGGGGGATGGAAGTGGAGCAGTGCAGCACTCCTCCATGGGCCAGCTTTCCCCTTAGGCAGCTTTCCTGTCTGTGGAAAGAGACTTCCCAGGGATGAGCAGCTGTGTCCTGCATCCCTGCACAGAGACTTGTGCAGATCAGGAGAGGGAACCCCCTGCAGATATCCTGTACTCTGTTCTGTTTGGGTCTTCCTTTGTATCATCCACCAGGGAACAATCATGGAATCACAGAATAACTTTGAGCTGGAGGAGACCCAACTCCTGGCCCTGCACAGACAGCCCAAGAATCCCACCCTCTGCCTGAGAGCATTGTGCAAACACTCCTGGAGCTCTGGCTCTTTAGGGAGGTGGCTGACACATGCACTTGTCCTCTCTCCTGGGCAGGCAAGGTGCAGCAGGCTGGGTTTTGGCGTGCAGGCTGCTCAGACTTCAGAACCTCATGCCAGATGAAAAAAGAAAAAACTAAAAATCCCAGGCAAAATGTCTGTCTAAGCATTAATTCAAGAGTGGGGCACCAAAGACCAGCTTTTGTCCAGTGATTGGAGTGACCTGTGCTTGAGTTGTAAGTGAGTCCTGATCCCAGAGCTGGTACTGATGCTGCCCTGGGTTGTGTGACAGCTTGGGCTGAGATCCCAGCACAGGCTTAGCAGAGCAGCAGCCAGGCCAGGGAATGTTGGGCAGCCTGAGCAGCCCCTGTGGCCTCTTTGGGCTGGAGGTGCCACTCACACCTCTGGCATAACTGGGAGGTGCTGGGAACAGTGCTGAGTGAGGGGTTGAACTTCACCCTTGGGTGAGTGAGCACTCCCTGTGTGCCTGCAGAGCTCCTGCAGCAGCCCCAGCTGCAGTTTCTTGCAGGATGCTGATCTCACCCCAGTGTGGGCCCTCCCTGCAGCAGGGCAGCAGCACTGCCATTGACTCTGCTCTGGAAATGCTGGGTGGCTGCTGAGGCAGCTCATGAGCAGAAAATGAACCACTCTGCCTTTATTAAATATGACAAAAGAAAGTATCCATCAATCAATTAGCCTGTTATTAGTCATACTGCTCTGATTAGATTTCACTTGTTCTGCAGCCACTACAAGGAGTCCTGGAGTGCTGCTGGCTCTGGTGACAGTGTCTCCTTTGCTTCTGCCAGGTGATGATGGCAGAGCTGCTGCCTGTCCTGGAGGCCAGGCCGTGCCTGGAGGGCTCTGCAGGGCTGTTCAGGGCCATCCACAGCCAGCTCTGTCAGGGGGGCCGGCGCTTCCCTGTGCTGGTGAGGGACGAGCTGCTGGACTGAGCTGGGAGCCTCCTGCTACTCCTGCACACAGCCAAAGACACTCCGAGCAATAAATCTTTTCTATGAACTTCTTTAGCCTGCTTGTTTATTCAGCTAAATTCCAGGGGGTTGTTTCCATTATGGGCTTTTTTTATTTTATTTTAACTTCCTTTTGTATCCCAAGGACTGGAGCCAGAGAGAGCTGGGGGTGCTCACCTGGAGAGGAGAAGCTCCAGGGACACCTCAGAGCCCCTGCCAGGGCCTGAAGGGGCTCCAGGAGAGCTGCAGAGGGACTGGGGACAAGGGATGGAGGGACAGGACACAGGGAATGGCTCCCACTGCCAGAGGGCAGGGATGGATGGGATATTGGGAATTGGGAATTGCTCCCTGGCAGGGTGGGCAGGGCCTGGCATGGGCTGTCCCTGGATCCCTGGAAGTCCAGCCAAGGCTGGGTTGGACACGGGCTTGGAGCACCCTGGGATGGTGAAAGGTGTCTCTACCCATGGCAGGGGCTGCAGTGAGGTGAGTTTTAAGGTCCCTTCCAACCCAAACCAGTCTGTGTTTCTGTTGTTTTGTATCACTTTCCTAACCTGTTAACTGAGGTTTTGTGAAGCCCCTTCAGGCCTTCAGAGACTCTGGTTTTGGCTTTTCTTCCAAGCTCAGGACACCAGGCTCAGGATGCAGACAGTGCAGCAGGTAGCAAAACATGTTTGTACTGATCAGCCATAGGACCATGGGTCAGGGCCTTCCAGCATCCAGAAATCCCCAGCTGCTGCCCCGGTACGGTGGCACCCAGGGTCAGGCAGTGTTTCGGTGCCGCAGGGAGCGAGCGGGGCCGGCGCTGCCCCCGGCTGTGCCCGGCAGGTGGCGGGCGGGTCCCGCGGTCCCTGCCGGAGCCGGAGGCACCGGGAATGCCCAGCCCGGCCCTAGGAAACGCCGGGCCTGCAGCGCTTCCCACCTTGTCACCGCAGGGAAAGGGCAGCTGCCATTCTCCTTTATGCTGGGCTCTTGCGTGTAATCCCCAAATTCCCTGGTGTTTCAGTGACAGGTAAAGCTTTGGAGTGAAGTGGAAAAACTCTGCTTGTGAGTGCTTAAATTCCATTCAGGAAGTGTACCATGGCCTAGTACAGTTTCACCCAGACCTTATCTCAAAGCTGGACTCCTTTTGTGTGTATATGTGTGTGTGTGTGTGTAATTTAGCTCTTAGCAGTGCAAAGTCATTCATTAGTTTCTCCTTATCTCTTTTCAAGGTCAGGTTGCTTCCTGGCTCTTCTGAATGTCTGACTCTTTGTGACACTCAAAATTCAATAAAAATCATTCACATGATAGGTGAAAATCAGCATCTCTGACTTTCCCTTTGTATTTTTGTCACAGAATGGGTTGGGTTGGAAGGGGCCTCATCCCACCCCTGCTATGGGCAGGACACCCTCCATGGGACCAGGGTGGCATTGGACACTCCAAGGGAGCAGACACTGCCTTCTAAAATAGTGTGGTCATACACATGAACATGTCCATGTTTGAATGGGAGAGCTGACATTTGCTATTGTTAATTAGGGTGCTGTTATGGATAACTTGCATCTGCAAGCACTGCATGAGTCATGGAGCATCTGCTGCTCAGCACAGAGCAGGCCAGAGTAAATTGGCAGCAACTTCAGCAGCACAGCAAGGACTGCAGAGGTGGGAAAGGGCTGGGAAAAGGAGACAGCCCACAAGAGAGGGTTCCCAGGGGTTGTTGCAAACTCAGAAGGCAAGCTGACCCTGTAGGGGCTGTGCAGAAGGGGTGCACAGTGTCAGGTAGCTGGGTTGTTCTCTGCCTTTGTGTGCAGTGAGGTTTTCTTTCTCTTCCTACACCACATTTTAAAATTTTAGAAATGTGTAAGACTTTAAATAATTTGAATGACTCACTCTTTCAAACCAGTCTTGTGCTGTAGCAGAGATAGATTCAATAGCAGCTGAACTCAGGGGCTGGGGGGCTTTGTTATAGGATGTGCCATTGTTGTTGGAAGAAAGTACATCCAGCTGAGATGAGGAAACAAAGACTTAAGGTAGTGTTTGATGCCAGGGGATAGAATTACAGAAATACAGGAAATGAGCAGTATTTTTGGAAAGTGATAGATGATCCCAGTGTTGTGTAGACATGAGCTGAGAAAGCATAGTGAGGGCCAGGGAGAATTAGCAGCTCTGATTCCTTCTTTGTCCCCTGCAGTAGCATTTACAAGGTTTTTGGGTTTTCCCTACTTGAAGGATGAGATCCTGAGGAGGACGCAAGTTTTGCTTTTCTTTCCAGATTCTGTGACTTTAAGTATTTCCAACTGCTGCAGTTTTTCTTTTTCCCTGGCTCTCTTCTCTCCTTCCCCTCTACAACTTCTCCACAGACTGTGTTTGTTTTGCAAATATGTTTGGGATAGCAGCAGTGCTGCTGTTAGTGCACACTGCAAACAGCAGAGCTTCTTGGAGGGCTTCACATGCACCAGTTGTCTTTGGTTAGCCTTAGAGAATAATAGGGTCCCAGACTGATTTGGCTTGGAAGGGATCTTAAAAATCATTTAATTCCACTCCCACCATGGGCAGGAACACCTCCCTGTATCCCAGGGTGCTCCAAACCCCATCCAGCTGGGCCTTGGGCACTCCCAGGGGTGCAGGGGCAGCCCCAGCCCCAGCTGTGCTCAGTTCTGAAGCTCTGCTGAGCCCCCCAAGGGGTTCATCCTGCAGGTGTCACCAGATCTGCCACCGAGTGCTGCTGCAGCACGTGGAGAGACTCAGCAGTGGGGCTTTAGGGCTGCTCCCCATCTAAAACAGAAATAACTCGGGTCTTGGTGAGAGGGATGACACAGCAGGGGTGTGGAGGAATGTCCTGCCTCTGCCAGCCCTTCTGAGGGCTCTGAGTGTGACAGAGCATGGCAGGCTGTGCCCTGCTGCTGTGACTGCCTTGGCTCCCTCCCACCCTGGGAAAAGGGCAGGAGGAGCTCCCTGGGCCAGGAGCGCACCTTAGGGCTGGGAGAGGCAAACCCTGCTGAGCTGTGTGAGGCATAAGGGAATTTCATCAAAGAGCAGTTTAAGATGGTAAATGTTGAAGTGGGAGGAAAACTCCCAGCCCCCTCTGAAGATGACAAATTTGCTGTTGATGTTCTTCTCTAAATGAGCTTTCTGTGAGCTCCAGAGAGCAGGTTACTTGATTAAAACTGTGTGTGAGTCAAACCTGAAGCATTAACAGCTGACCCAGCAAGTTGTTGTGCCAGTCTAGAGTTCTAGAAAGAGCACTGATGCTGCAAAATGCTGGGACAGAGTTCTTGGATTTTAGGGGAGCCACTAGGGGGGAACTGTATCTCCACACACATTTTTTTAGTTTTTATATTCTTTTACCCAAATCAGTCTCTCCCTAAGTTACAGAATTCAGGATGAGCTTGTGTTTTCCAGCTGAAGCTCTGCTGAGATATTTTGTCTGGTTCTGCTGAAGCTGAAAGGGGTTCCACAAGCATGCAGAGCCCACTGAGGATGCTGGGTGTGGGAGCTGCAGGATGCAGAGAGCTCCTCCAGACTGTCCCAGGGTGTCTAATTATCAGCACACTGTAAGCAGTGAGTGGGAAATGCTCTAATAGCTTCATGTATGCCAGGGGAAGGAGCCAACAGGGATTTTTGGTGGGCAGGCAGCCAGTTCATGGCTGTGCATTTCCAGTCCTGAGTCCTGTCACCATTGTGGAGGCACTGAGAGGCTGCAGCAGATGATGGATCTGACACCAGGGCTTGTCAGTTGTTATGTGTAAAACAGAGATTGATGTGATTCCACTTGCTCTTGAGCTTGGTTTTGTGTGTCTGTGCTCTCTGCAACAAGGCCTCTTGTTCTGGTGGATTGTGGTTGATTTTTAGGAGCATGTACACTGGGACTGGTGCAGAGGACATCTGGGTTCACTGGCAGCTTCCTAGTCCTCCTTCACACACATTAATAACAACCTCACAAAAGAAAACCCCTAACCATTGCTCAGTCTGACATGAAAACAATTCATTAAGTAAGTATTAAAGTTCCTACCATTCACCACACAGATTGAGTGCTATTTTTGTAACCAGCACCCAGAAGAAAAGATCTATCATCTTGGTTTTAATTTGTGGAGAAAGAAGGAGGTTAGCATTTTAATAAAAAAAAAAAAAAATTCTATGGCTGGTTAATTAATGTGAGCTCAGTAAGACAGAAGAGGGCAGGAAGCACCAAGCCCCATGTGCCAGGGAACAAAGAGCTGGGAATGGGAGGAGAAAAAATTAAAAGGGAGTTTTGAACTTTCTCCTTTCACAAGGAGAAAGGTTACAGTAATCTGTTATTTAGGCACACAAATGAAGATGTTTGACTTATTTTTAGCCAGAAAAAGAAAGATAACCAGTGGATAGTGAGTTTGGATAAGAAAAAGTAACTAGAAGCAAGATGTGAGTCAGTGGAGGAACCTGGCCTTGGAAAGAAGCTTGTCTGGAGTCTCCCCCTGGTTTGTGGGAGCACAAGCTCCCAGATTTGCTCATGCTGCTGAGAGGTTTGTCCTCAGCCCTTACATGCTGTAGAGGGAAACAATTGATTTGTCTCACCTGAGGGGTGACTGACCCCAGTGGGGCTCCTGCCCTGGGCAACCTTGGCTTTGCATTTCCTTCCCCTGCAGCTCTGCGGCACCTCAGCATCTCTGCCCTCTCTCCAAAGCAGTGGCACAGCCTGGAGCTCTGCACTTTGCAGCTGTGTTCTCTGGGCATCTCTCCCTTGGGGTTTTGTTTCCTGCTTCAGGCTCTGAAGCTCAGCACACACAGAGCAGTTTTCTCTGCAGGTAAAGGCTCCTAGAGGATATTTTAGCAGTAGATCTTGCTTTTGGGATTGTTGAGTGCTTTCATGCAAGGTGAGGGCATCTGCAGCTCTCACTGCCTCCAGGGTGGGAGTTTTGGGTACCAGCCAGGCATAGGAACACAGAGGAGAGAGCACAGGAATCAGAGAATCATTTAGCTTGAAAAGATCTTTAAGAACTTCAAGTCGAAATGTTCCCCCATTGCCAAGACCACCACTAAACCGTGTCTACACATCTTTTAAATCCCTCCAGGGATAGTGACTCAACAAAAAAAACCC